TCAAAAAGCTTATTTTTGTATCATATCAATCTCTTTTTCCTAATTTTTTTAATTTGCTGCATCTCAATCCTTTCAGAAGTTATTTCTTAAAAGATAAAACCATACAGGCATCGATTATTTTTCTCCTAAACTCCTTCACAACAGATGCTTAGCAGGTCATAGAATAGACCTGACCTGTTGCAGCCTTACAATAGAGAATAGAATAGAATTCTTTATTGGGCAAGTGTGATTGGACACACAAGGAATTTGTCTTGGTGCAAATGCTACATGATAGAGTCATGATACAACTTTGCAGGCACTGATGTAGCCAATCATTGCCATATATTTATTTTATTTGGTAAATGTTAAGAGAAACATCTCCTGAAAAACTGTGCCCTTATTTATAGCTGAAGACATTATACAGACTAAAATTGAGTATATACATTTTGATCAACAAGGAGTTAACAGTCCACTTCACAGCTGAGAGCACTTTCAAAACATGCTCCTCCTTTCCTAAAAGCACCGCCAAAATCATCTAACAGGAAACATAGGATTAAGTTTATCCTACCTAAGAGAACAAAAGGGTGCTCAGAACAAACAACTAGTTTACTCTATTGGAATCTCTTGTTTCACAAAATACAGTTGAAGAAATTGTTTTCTTTCTTTTCCTTTTTGGATTCCCCACTGCACCTCATGTTGGTCATATTGTAGTTTTGCTGCTTTTTCCATAAATGTTAATTTAAAGTGCCAAACATAATCATGTGGAAAATGGACATTATTGATTCCTAAGGTCTATTGTTTTCCCATTCTCAGTCCCTGAAGTTCAAGTTCAATCTGGAATTACATCATGTCTGGTTTCTCCTGGTTACCAGACTGCTTGAGACGTGACCACAGCTACAGAAAAAACAAACAGCCTTCTTCACGCTTCGGCTTCCCTATCGATTCAAATGAACTTTTTCTTTTTCTTCCTCTCAAGTATGCTTCAAGTATAGAGCATGGTTAATTTAGAGATTAAGTTCCAAATTAGATTATCTAATGGCATCTTAATGGATTGCTGACCCATTTCCTGTGGGATGGCAGCAGGCAAGTCTGGCTGGAATACAATTAATTTCTTAGGAAGTGTTCAGAAGATGTTTGCTTAAATGGAAAGGAAACATAATTCTCTGCACATCTTTCTTTATTAGAGAGCTGGGTGAAACTATAACTGAGATAGTGACAAACTGATACAAGCCAGAAATCCTTCCCAGCTACTCCTGTACTCCAATGATTTTATCAGTCAGTATTTTCATTCCACGGTTCTTATTTATAAAAATTGACTCTGCAGTTTTATTCCACACAAATTTATGATACATTAGGTAATTTATTTGAAAGAAACAAAAGAGGAAGAATGAGGTTACTGCTACTGATTTTGTTCTTCTAAAGTTTACATTTAACTTAGAAGCTTTACTCTGCAAGGCTGTTCTGACGTTAAAATAAAGTTCCCAGTCTTCTTTTTTCCATACAGTAAACAAAACAGCTCCTCAGAGTGGAAAGGGAGCAAGGAAAGCTACTCCAGAAAGTTATATATTCGGACACCTCCCTGCTTTGGATAAAGTAGAAAAGAATTTCAGTGTTCTGGGCCCAAAGAAGAAGCTAACTGTTGTTTTGTACTTCTCTGCCAAGATGGCAAACTGAAAGCAGGAAATGTTAACTTAGGATCTGGGAACAGCAAAATTAAACTTAAATTGGCATTCAAGGTAGCCCTTTATAAAACAGAAATGAGTCTGCTTTTTAAAATGCAAATAGTACCTGATAATGATTGTCCCAATGTTACATTTTTGAAAAGTCTAATTGAAAACTTTGAAAGTTCACAACTGCTAATAATTCACAACTGCTATGGCCCTCACTCAGCAGTAACTGTTTGACCTCTCAGGATCAGTTACATCTACCAAATGAAATAAGAGCTAATATTGCATTTTGTGTGTTGCATAAGCATTTCTAAATAAATAGTTCAATATAATATCAAACATTAGAAATGTTTGATTGATTTGTAATGACACAAATCAAGTATTGCATGTAGTTTAAGATCATTTGAACAATGATGCCATGGTGCGATGACAAAGAGACAAGGGGGGGGGAGGGAGGAAGGGAGGGAGAGACAGACAGACAGAGACAGACAGACAGAGACAGAGACTGGATTTTCTTAAAGTAAGTTCCAAATCAAATTACCTCAGCATATAAAATATTCCTAAAATTTTATATGTTTGCATGCTGGTTGAATTTATATTAGAAAAAATATCCAGGAACTGCATTAGTCTTTCTTGCTTAATTAAATATTATTTAAACCATGCTAAGAGAAAATAAAACTTATTTCTAAATATATTTGGGCAATGCTTACTATGTTTAGAGTATTTTCCCTACAAAGGCTAATTAGGCGCTGATTATAAAAAATATATAGAAGTTATTTAAACAAAAGGAAAACAGGGGCTTATAAGTAAACAATTTTCAGTGGAAGTTTGTGCTAAGAATGCTAGAGGCAAAGTAGTATGGTCAATAAGTAGTATGGGCAATATTCAAAAATGGATTTACACAATAGCATTATGTTGTGAATAAAAAGTAAATTACCATCAGTTTGTCTGGCCTAGCCCAAAATATTCTCTTTTCTCTATGGTTAAAATACCCTGTAAAATTTGAATCGAAGTCTGCTGCTCGTTCACACTAAGACAAGGGACTGATAACATGGGGTTCTGAATGTCTCTTTTGAACACTAGCTTGGGTTTTTTCCTGTCCGAAACTGTACAGCAATTTTGAAAATACCATTAAGAATGGACGAATGCCCTTTCAAAATTGCACTCCCAAAGTGTAGCTACTATCTGTATCAAAAATGACATGACATCTTCAAATTCAATCCCCAGCTTCCTGGTAGAATAAAATAACTAAATTCTGATTTGGAAAAATGATCACACTTCTGTTGACTCCTGCCTTTTCTCCATCTAGATGGGCGGTATGACGGATTTGAATCCAACATGTTCCTAGTCCTATTAATAGTTTATGTACTAGTCATAAAACATTTTAATACATTTGGATTACACTCTTTCTCATGAAGGTATTTACAAAATCAGTTACAATAATTTGAAGAACCAGAATTTACAGAACGTGGAATATTTAACCAAGATTTTTTTTTTCCCAAAACTATGTTTTGGGGGGATTAAAGATTAACTGTGACAGTGGTGATGATGAAAATGTACATAATCTCAACTGAATGTAAGAAAACAAAATATATAAATTAGAAATATGTTAAATTTAATATGTTAAAGAGAACAAATGGACCAGTGGTGGGATTCAAATTTTTTAATACCGGTTCTGTGGGTGTGGCTTGGTGGGCGTGGCAGGGGAAGGATACTGTAAAATCCCCAGTCAGAAGTGGTATTTGCCGGTTCTCCGAACTACTCAAAATTTCCACTACCGTTTTTCCAGATCTGGTCAGAACCTGCTGAATACCACCTCTGAAATGGACATTTAAGGCAGTTCAAAGAGTAGCTATAAAATGTTTCCTTAAAAAAGTTTTCAGAACAAAAGTAAGCACGAGACATAAATATTTCAAGAGAAGATATTGGTTGAAATGAACCTATGGAGATCATTTTCTATTTACATTGTATGGTAAGCCAAACAATCCAGTCTATTCAGATTTATCAGTTCTTAAATAAAATAATGGGCAATAATAAACAATTATATACAGGTAGTCTTCAATTTAAAACCATTTGTTTAGTGACTAAAGTTACAATGGCATTTTAAAATGTTACTTTTGACCGTTTTTCCCACTTAAGACCATTGCAGTATCCCCACATTCATGTGATCAAAATTTGGACCCTTGGAAACTGGTATGTATTTATGACGACTGCAATGTCCCAGAATCATGTGATCACTTTTTGTGACCTTTCTGACTAGGAAAATCAATGGGGGAAGCCAGTTTCACTTAACAACCATGTTACTAACTTAACAACTGCAGGAATTCACTTAACAACTGTGGCAAGAAATATTGTAAAATGGGGCAGAACTTACTTAACAAATTTTGGGCTCAATTGTGGTCATAAGTTTGAGGACTACCTGTATTCAAGTTAGAAAGCCCATTAAAATACTGTATGAGTGATAATTTGTAGGACTGTAACAGAGGATAAGGGAATTAGGAGGAAGTACTTCATACTTTTACTTCACAGCTTTTAGTGTAAAATGAGAAGGAAAATTGATTTTTATATGTGTGTGCATGTATGTATGATTGTGTGCGTGCACTGAAGACAGTGAATGTGCCTAAGATTCCATTTGCCAATCACTCTTTTCATCCCATTACACTTCATCTCCTAAAACTCTCCAAGCATTTACTCTTGTATTTGGGGAATTATCTGGAATGATATTTTGAGGAAAAGGGAAAGAAATAGAAAATAATACTTTTTCATGACATTATAAAATTGAATCAGAAGCAATTCTGTAAAGATTCATAATTACTTAATTACACATATCAACTAGCATGTTAAAATGTTTCCCATCAGAATCTATTTCAAAGTAGCAGTTTCACTTTACTTACTCTCAAAGTAATTTTATGAAAGGGAAAACTAGTTAAGTGTAGTTAAATATAAGACACAGTTTTATCTTACCTCAGAGAACATTTCCTAAATTCATAAATTCTATCCATGTGATTTCTCAAATAGTTCCTTTGGGTATTACTCCTATGTATTACCTAATACCCATTCTTGTCATATATGTTATTCCTAAAACCACTTCTTAATATAAAATAATATCAATATAAATTTCAAACTGCCTATCCATTTTTGCTATGTTGCTTTCTTTACACAGTTTTATACTCGACAGTGTATCAGTAATAAGTGCTTAACTATAATATAATGTTCATTTGACCTAAACATGTAATTCAAAAGATGTTAGATATTTTATAGTTAAAAATTTGACAAATTTAATCCTGGAAGCTAACTTATACAGATAACGAAGAACCCAAGATAGTTTAGGTGTGGAAATAATTAAAAATTTACCTTTGCCAAGTAATTCCCAATGTATCCTCATTGGCACTGGGGTATAAATGCCTGCCGTTTTGATTCATGGTCCAGTCACATATCCTCAGCTGTCAATTGAAACCTAGCAGTCAGATATGGATCGAGCAGTACTACAGTTTTTAGTATTTAAATGAATGCATGCAAACTAGCATTTTATATGGTACAAACCTTACATCCCCAGGGGGGGGGGGGGGGGGGGGGGGGGAGAACAGTTTTAAAAAATAAATTTTAAATTATTATAGTGCAAAATAAAATTGAACACATTTACAAAATGCTACACAAATATGCTTTTCTATTAATCAAAGCATAAAAGAACAACTGGAATTTAGCAAATATTTATATTATAAACTTAGCTGAAACGAAGTAAATATTAATGTTCACTTAAAAAAAGAAAATAAAAAGCACTTAAAATTATTCAATTTCCAGGGAGGAGGGGAAACGAGAAAAAAATCAGTATCTTTGACAGCATGCATTTGGTGATACACAGATGACATGCAACTTATAGGAAAGGATCCAAAATTACACAAAGATCTTATATTACTGTTCAAGAAGGAAAGAGGCATTTGTAATAGAGGTTGATTAATTTAGGGTTACTCAATACAGCGTCTCTTAACATGCACTGGTAAAATGACCTAGTTCTTAATTCAAGATAATAGCATTTAAAAGATTTTAAATAGAAGAAATGCATTACATGTAAGCTGAAATAAATGTTTCCCAGATCACCAAATCATCAGAACCTCTTTAAAAAAAGCCCGACCTATGTAACTCTACTCAGCCATTGTCTAAAGGATGTTAGCATTTTTCTTAAAGATCTAGTGATTATATTTATATCTGATAAAATACGCCTTACCTAAACTTTTAAGAAAACAAGAGATTTTAATCTCTATAAAATAATTAACATATATCATGCATCGAAGAGCACCTTGAATTTAATGCAATAATGTGACTATGATTAATTGTATATAAATGCCATTTCTTTCCCTCTCCACAATATGTAAGTGGCTTTAAAAGAGCAATGTTTTAGTTTAAGCAGTGACTTTCCTAGCAATTCAATTTATTGCACTCCTTTCCTGAAAAACACGTGTGCTAAGCAGAAGACTGTATTCTTGTCCTGACCCAGTGTGTGAAGGCTCAGCAACATTTCTTGGCTTCGCCTTGCTGAGTCTTCAGAAATGGAAACACAGATTTTTAATAATTGTTTTGTTAGCTATTATCTGAAGAACTCAGCAAGAGAGACAGATTATAATTTATTAATTTAATTTAAATGTTTCTATATCTTCTGCTGTTAAATGAAATCTCATAATGGCTAGGAACTAAATAGACATGGAATCATGCAGACAAAAATGTTTTTGAAATATAGTAACAATGACAGAAATGATGCAAAAAAGAGGGGTATTTTTAGAGTAAGTCCTATTGCTGACAGATATGCTGGCTGCATTTTTATATTATTTCCCATAACTAAGTTTAAAAAAAAATATCTAAAGGTTTAATTCTTGGTTTAAGATGTGTGCAACCACTTAATTTGAGTGAATGGGTGGAGAAGCTCTCTTGGAAATGTGTCAAATCTAACTTCTGCTCTGTGTTTTCCATTTAATATTAATCACCCTTTCTTTTCTTTTCTTTTGAAACGAAATACTTTATTTTTTATGTAATAGATTTTAATTTTGTTTATAATTGTAGTGTTTAATTTTTATAAACACTGTATTGTAGAATTTATCACCTTGAATGTCCTGCAGGCAAAAAAGCAAGACAAAAATAGAACAAAAAAGCAAGCAAGCAAGCAAACACTGAATGACAGAAAGAGGCATGAATGGAGTGTGCAAACTATAGTTTGTTAATTGTAATCCATCCAGCATGAGAGCTAAGTTACAAACAAGCTTACAATAGTTGCTCTCCTGCTGAAGGATAGTACAGCTAGAACCAGAATATTGAGGGGCTTGTATTAGCTGAGCAGACTGAAACCATGTTTCCTGATGTTTTGAGTTCTAAAAAGTTGTTTGAACAAATATTTTGGCAAGGTTGTTCTTTAAGCATCTTCAAAAGTCTTTAATAAAAACAGCAATATACACTGCTCAAAAAAATAAAGGGAACACTTAAACAACACAATGTAACTCCAAGTCAATCACACTTCTGTGAAATCAAACTGTCCACTTAGGTAGCAACACTGATTGACAATCAATTTCACATGCTGTTGTGCAAATGGAATAGACAACAGGTGGAAAGCATAGGCAGTTAGCAAGACATCACAATAAAGGAGTGATTCTGCAGGTGGTGACCACAGACTACTTCTCAATTCCTATGCTTTCTAGCTGATGATTTGGTCACTTTTGAATGCTGGTGGTGCTTTCACTCTAGTGGTAGCATGAGACGGAGTCTACAACCCACACAAGTGGCTCAGGTAGTGCAGCTCATCCAGGATGGCACATCAATGCGAGCTGTGGCAAGGTTTGCTGTGTCTGTCAGTGTAGTGTCCAGAGCATGGAGGCGCTACCAGGAGACAGGCCAGTACATCAGGAGATGTGGAGGAGGCCGTAGGAGGGCAACAACTCAACATCAGGACTGCTACCTCCACCTTTGTGCAAGGAGGGACAGGAGGAGCACTGCCAGAGCCCTGCAAAATGACCTCCAGCGGGCCACAAATGTGCATGTGGCTGCTCAAACGGTCAGAAACAGACTCCATGAAGGTGGTATGAGGGCCCGACGTCCACAGGTGGGGGTTGTGCTTACAGCCCAACACCATGCAGGACATTTGGCATTTGCCAGAGAACACCAAGATTGGCAAATTTGCCACTGGTGCCCTGTGCTCTTCACAGATGAAAGCAGGTTCACAATGAGCACATGTGACAGACATGACAGGGTCTGGAGACGCCATGGAGAATGTTCTGCTGCCTGCAACATCCTCCAGCATGACCAGTTTGGCAGTGGGTCAGTAATGGTGTGGGGTGGCATTTCTTTAGGGGGCCGCACAGCCCTCCATGTGCTCGCCAGAGGTAGCTTGACTGCCATTAGGTACTGAGATGAGATCCTCAGACCCCTTCTGAGACCATATGTTGGGGTGGTTGGCCCTGGGTTCCTCCTAATGCACGACAATGCTAGACCTCATGTGGCTGGAGTGTGTCAGCAGTTCCTGCACGACAAAGGCATTGATGTTATGGACTGGCCTGCCTGTTCCCCAGACCTGAATCCAATTGAGCACATCTGGGACATCATGTTTCACTCCATCCACCAATGCCACGTTGCACCACAGACTGTCCAGGAGTTGGGGAATGCTTTAGTCCAGGTGTGGGACGAGATCCCTCAGGAGACCACCACCTCATCAGGAGCATGCCCAGGCATTGTAGGGAGGTCATACAGGCACGTGGAGGCCACACACACTACTGAGCCTCATTTTGACTTGTTTTAAGGACATTACATCAAAGTTGGATCAGCTTGTATTGTTTTTTTCCACTTTAATTTTGAGTGTAACTCCAAATCCAGACCTCCATGGGTTGCCAAATTTGATTTCCATTGATAATTTTTGTGTGATTTTGTTGTCAGCACATTCAACTATGTAATGAACAAAGTATTTAATAAGAATATTTCATTCATTCAGATCTAGGATGTCTTATTTTTGTGTTTTCTTTATTTTTTTGAGCAGTGTATTTATTGCTAATAGAATTTGACTTTTTGGCATTTGCAGAAGACAATAAGACCTGATTTAACACTTATTGTACACACAAAACATATTTAAATGTTTAAATGTCATTTGCAAACCCTTCCATATGAACTCGTAGTTTAGAAATTAAAATTGTACTAAACAGATATACACAAACATTAAGCAATATGCTGCCTGCATAGTACAACAAATAGTCATACTACATTACTGACGCTGTCGGCTTTAAAATGGTGATCATGCATTGGAGGACCAACTTTTAATCAGCACGTAGGAGATAAATAAGGTAGAATTTTAGGCCATTTCAGCACTATACAGCTAATACTTCTGGCCACAAATTTCAGTGTGTCATTACACTCACTATCTTACTTCTTTATATGATAATTGAGTACATATTTCTACCAAACATATACTACTAAATTAACAGGAAATCTACCTAAATTACAGAGTTTATGTTTGCAACTGAATATGGCTTCTTGGATATGGTTTACTTTATATACCTGATTCTACTGCTCTGTTAATATCTGTGATGTTATCAGCTGAAGAGCAAAACACCAGATCCCAAAGGAATTCATGCAGAAAACAAAAATTGTGCGCTTCCATTTTTCCCTCTTTTATATTATATTATCTTCATGTCTATGTATATTCTAGGTCATGGCTGTCCCCAAGGTGCTTTTCCTAAAAGGAATTGGACTGTCTTGGTTTTTTTCCCTTGAAAATGTTTTGCTTCTGTTCTTGAAAGCGAAATGTTTCAAGGAAAAAAAACCAAGAAACTCCAGTTGCCTTTTGGAAAAGCACCTTGGCCGCATACATGTTACATAGCACTTAAAATAATGCCTTGGAATATCTTTTAAGAGGTTTGCTCCTTCTTTCTGGTTTTGCTTTTGTATGTGTACATGCATGTACACATGTGTGAAAATCTCTTTATTCAATAAATCCTCCACATTGAATAAAAAGTTCTTAGCTGGGGGATCCTTTTGAGATATCATTGAGGACTACTGTACTGAGGATATAGGAAATAAAAAAATGATGCTAGATTTGTTGAACATCTTCTTAAATCAAAAGAAGACAAACTTTGTGGCTAGAGATACACCTGAATATTTGGGAACATGTGGTACAAATAATAATAAAATGGCTTCCATAACAGGATTGTCTTTTCACAAAGACCTGGGCATGGACAATTATAAAATGTCAATTTCCCATAGGAGAACTAACCCCAGAAGATGCTCTCTCCTACCCTGAACGGCCTTTGTGGGACATAAATGCATTATTGCAAATTAATATTGTACTGTGCTTTCATGCCTTCAGTTTATAATTTTATTACATTAGAAAGCTAAGGATGGAATTATACCAAACTAAGTATGGAATTTGCAAACCAGAAATTTCTCAAACATGCAAGTAATACATTTTGTTAAG